GCAGTAGTCGTAGCACCTCGTACAACTCTCCTACTTGAAGTCGGTCGGATTGCCAAGCGATGAGATGGAATGCGTGGCGGACGCAGGTACCAGATCGAGTCCGGAGCCACTGGCCGGCCGATCGACAAGGGCTCGACGGTCAGGTGATTTGGGCATCTACAGGCGGAGGTAGTGGTTGGGCAAGAAATATTATAGATAGATCGAGGGTATGAATCCACTAATGCACATAGAGTTGCCCTGTCCTCCCTAGGCCTGCCCCTTCTTCCACTGGTGCGCCTTCTGCAGCAGCCGCGACAGGTTGGCCGCTGACTGGTCGTCTGCCGGGAACACGTAGTCCATGTACTCCTCGTACCGGTCGTCCTCCAGCTTGCGCCGCTTCTTGACCCGCCGCGGCATCTGCTTCTCGATCTTGTCGATGTCCTCCGGGGATCCATGCGTGTTCTCGAACGACCGCCAGGCATTGAGCAGCTCCACGCGCTGTAAAACGAGGTTAGCATTGACCACACCACCAATTCTCGGAAGCACACATACCTCTTCCTTGAGCTCCTTGTCCTTGAACACCTTGTGGGCCCGCTCGAACACGGCCCGCGCCCGCCGCTTGGCTTCTTCACTGACCGGCCGTGCCTCTTCCTCTTCCTCTTCCTCCTCTTCTTCGTCGACGTTGATCTCGAACCGCGCATAGTTGATCCAGACCTTCACGTGGTCCGTCTTCTGGAGGAGACGCTCGTACAGTGCCCGCACGCGGTCATACTCGCCCTCGTACTCCTCAAAGTCAATGTAGGATTTCCAGACCAACTCCGGCATGTCAAGCGTGGCTTGCTCGATGCCCAGCTCGTAGATCGCCCTCGTTCGGTCTGTGTCGTCCAGGCCGCGTTCCAGCTCGGCAAATTGAATCCAGGACTGGCTGTTGGATGGATTCCATTCAATCTGCTTCTCGTACAGGGTTCGGCACCGCACGAACTCGAACAGTTGGCGCTCCAAGTCAATGTAACCGCGGAAGAGCTTGTCCTTTGGGCACATCCCGATGGCCTGGCCCAGGGTCTTCCGGGCAGCCTGCAGTTCCATCTGCCGGATCTCAAACTGCGCCTTCATGAGCCAAATTTTGGCGAATGTGAACTTCTTGTGCGGAATCAGCTTCAGGCATTCCTGGTAGATCTGCCGCGCGCGGTCCACATCCTTGGCTTCCATTTCCTCCCACGCGGCGTAAAAGATCCAGAGATAGATGTATCGGCGCCAGTGTCTCTTCTCCTGCGACGGAGGAATTTGCGCAATGGCCCGTTCGTACACGTCTCGCACCCTCTCTGGGTCGCCTGCTGTCTCCTCAAGTCGGGCAAAATCGAACCAGATATCGTAATTTCGGGGGTTCTCCTTCAGTTGTTCTTCGTACTGCACTCGGCGTTTGGACAGGATCACATCTTCGACACCTTCCCGATCACCGAACTGCTTCTCAAAGGTGGTATATGCCTTATGCAGGGTCATGGATTTGGACCTTGGCATTCGGTCCAGGGCGTATTTGTAGATCGCGCGTGCGCGTTCATATTCCTTGAGCTTGGCCTCGAACTTGGCGTATGCTATGAAGAGCTTCTCGTCCATGAAATCCTCGCCAAGCGTTTCGATCGCCACTCCATAGACCTCCCGAACCAGGTCGCTTGTCCCGTATTCTTCTTCAAACCGAGCCCATTTGATCCAATTCCGGGGTTCGGGGTGAACGATCGTGAAGCGTTGCAAAATCGCTCGCGCTCTGTCGAATTCATTGTAGCGCTTCTCCATCTTGATGTATGCGGCCCATGCGCCCTCCTCTGGCTCCCACGACATCCACCGCTCGAAAACCTGGCGGGTGCCAGGGATGTTGCCCAGCGTCTCCTCCATGTAGACATATTTGTACCAGAGCTTGTCCACACGCGGCAAGATCGTCACGGCGCGGTCGAAAAGGTTGCGGGCGTGGTTGATATTCCGAGTCTTCATTTCTGCCTCAATGTACCGGATCCACAGCACCACTGCGGTAGAGTCAACGTCCAGCGCGCGCTCAAAAATGGAACGCGCCCGACGGAATTCTTTCTGTTCCAGCTCCCAGGCCGCATAGCGCATCCAGTTATTCATATTAATGCGGTTGCGCTGCACATAGGCCTCGAATTCCTTTCGCTTCCGACCCTGGTACTCGTGTAGCTCTTCGAGATCCGCAAAGCGCTGTGTCGGGGCCTGTAGACCAGGCTCTTGCCGGTCGACAGCCTCCCGGAGCAACTGCTCCGCGGAGATCTGAACCGGCGCAGCGGCCTTGTTCTTGACCCGCGGAGGGCCACGAGACGCCTCCATGGTGATGGTGTCGAACGAAATGAGACCGGCTCGGGGTTCTTGGTGGCAGGGGATGAACGTTGGCTAGGCTGGGGAGTGTGGTGTGGACCTAACAACAAGAAGAAAACAACGGACTGAGAATTCCCCTGGTCTATTTGTCCCGAAACGCCGGCGTGGGCTGTTGCTGGGTGTAAATGAAAATAGTGGTGGCTCTTCCAGCTCCATCGAAAATCATCGCTCTGCGCTTGTGGTCTTTGTCGCCACCCGAAGCACCTAAAAGTTCTGCTTACTCATACCACTTCCCTCAATTCATGATTTCTTGGTCGTTCACTCACTCACCAAAACTTCCAACGGTGGTGGCCACGGACGACTGTCTCTTGTATTTGTTTATTCTTTTAACAAGACGGTTGCTTTCGCAAACATGTCCACCGCAGAGGAGCTTCTGCGCGACTTCGAGGAAGATGAGGACTTCCAGCAGGAGGACCTGGAGGAAGAGCCCCAGGAAGAAGAGAAGCCTCAGGAAGGTCCCGGAGCAACGAACGAATTCGACCTTTCCATCAGCGCTACCGACGAGCTGACTCGCCTACACAAAGCCCTGCGCGATCATTATTCAGTCCGCTTCCCCGAGCTCGAAACCCTGGTCACGAGTCCCCTCAACTACGCCAAGACAGTCGCTATTCTCCAAAATGGACCACTCGACGATATCAAGGCTATATCGACCTCATCAGATAATATGGTGGGCGCACCACTCGATTCGGTCCTCGATCGACCGTCTCTGATGGTTGTGACGGTGGAAGGATTGACAACTCGAGGGCGAGAGATGACCGAGTCCGAGCTCAAGGTTGTGCAGGACACATGCGCGAAGATTCTCAAACTTGACCGCGAACGCACCGCACTGATGGAGAGCATTCAGTCTCGGGTGTATCAAATTGCACCAAATCTGGCGGCGCTGATTGGGCCCGAGACCGCGGCGCAATTCCTCAACCAATCTGGTGGTTTACGCGAGCTGGCTAAGATTCCTTCGTGTAATCTGGGAGCACAAGGCTCAAGAAGGCAGGAAGGCTTGGGTTTTGCTACCAATCATGGGGTTCGAGCAAAAGGATTTCTCTACGATTCCCCGTTGGTTCAAGAGGTTCCCAACGACCTGAAAAAACAGGCCATCCGGATCGTGTCTGCGAAAATGGCACTCGCTACTCGGGCAGATGTCTCAAACCACGCCAAGGATGGATCTCTCGGCGAAGAACTTAAGCAGCAATGTTTTCAGCGGTTAGAAAAGCTCACAGAGCCCCCACCAAACTCTGGGCAACGGGCACTCCCCGCCCCTGACGACAAGCCGGCTAGAAAACGTGGTGGACGCCGTGCCCGGAATGCCAAGGAGGCAATTGCCATGACAGAACTACGCAAGGCTCAAAACCGGGTCGCGTTCGGCAAGGAAGAATCAGAAGTCGGATACGGCACTGGCGAGGGTACCGTGGGTCTGGGTATGTTGGGACAACAAAACGACGGACGAATCCGTGCAACGCAAATCGACCAGCGCACCCGTGCCAAACTCAGCAAAAACAACAAGGGATGGGGTGCTGCTACTCCTGTTAGTGGCACGGCCTCATCGCTGCGCGGCTTCGGCCAAGGTGCAGGTGGTGCCGGAGGCACTGCCAGTGTACTCCAGGCTAAGGGTCTCCGCACATCGGGCGTTGGTCCGTCTTTGTCCGGGACCGCGGGTACCGCCAGTACGATTGCTTTTACACCGGTCCAGGGCTTGGAACTGGTCGATCCGAAGGTTCAAGCCGAACTCAATCGCAAGCGCAAAGCCGAGGAGGACCGGTGGTTCAAATCTGGCACGTTCACCCAGGTCGGCGGCCAGAGCAGCACCAATGCTCAAGGCGAAAACGGGGTCTTCAAGGTCCCTGCCATCCCGCCCAAGAAGAAGGTCGACACTGGCGGAGGCAAGATGGGCCCGCCAGCAAAGCCATAATCCTTACTGGTCTATGTACGTACGCATTTGAGAGGCGTTTTGGGGGAGAAGATCCGGGGTGGCAATGTTTCACGTGATACCATTCTTGTATATTAGTCTGTCAAAGGGGCCTTCGCTCTAGGTTAATTAGGACCAATGAAATAATGACCAAGGGATCGCATTTCGGGCCAAGGTAATTGGACGAAAGACACTATCCAATAGTCGGTGAACGACAGGATTGCCGGCGGGTGGACCAAACGCCACAGATCGGGCCGTTTCATTAGGGTTCGGGGGCGACACGTGGCTGAAGTTTCAGTTTCCTTGACAAAGAGATAAAGAGATGTTGCATCGGGCACCCGTTGGGGCCCCCGAAACTCAATTATCTTCATGGTAAACTCAAAGGCGCCACTTTCGGTAAGGAATGGCGTGCTTGTGCGGTGTCTCTTAATGGCACAATTCTGGCGGAATGTGGTACAAGGACGGATGGTGGAGATCTGGTATAAAGGTGTCCCTCTTTTTCTTTGGGTCCGGTGCCTGGGCCAAATCTGGTTCGGAAAACTTTTTTTTCCTTCTCCGTGCCTGAATAATCTTGTCCTCGTTCATTATTATTGCATGTGCTGTCATTCTTCTCCTTTTTTCAGTGTTCGAGATATATCATAGAGCTGCTGCTGCACGACTTCAGTGGCCATTCAGTATTGCTTTAACCAAACCCTAACTATCATTCGCGGCCAACCTCCAGTCGAATAGATAATAGACCATGGCTCCAGGGGTAACCACCAGTCCAGCCCAGAACAGCGCAACCACCAACACAAACAGCCATGTCGGCAAACCCTCGCAGCAGCTGTTCCATCACAGCCTAGTCACTACAGACTTTGATCCGCTGAAATTCCGCGCCGCTGCCGCATTGCAATGGCAGCTCAGCAAGAACACGCCCAACATCGCAGCCCTGGACACAGACACCCGCCTCATCGCCTCCCCATACAACGATGCACTTCACCTTCTGGATCTAGAAACCCTCGATACCCAGGACCGGCTTTTGGCGCTAGCATTGTCGGCCCTCCGACCCATTCGCGACGACTATGCAACAGCGCCATACACCGAGTCGTTCAACTGGGACGACGTTTTTAGTCTAGTGAGGACTTTCGCTGACGCTGAGAGCCACTCGTGGACGCAGCAGTCGTTCTACGTGGTCGTGTTCCGGTCAAAGCTGCAGCCAGACGCGGATCCGGATCGTTTATATGCGCTGGATGCGCATTCGCATCAAGAGGCTATTGCCAGTGGGGGCTTGTTGAAGTATTGGTTTGGGACGAAAGATCAAGATCATCAAAATTTGGCTACCTGTAAGTTTCTTTTGCGGTTATTATCATGTTAATGTGGGCTAATTGGTGGAAATAGGCGTTTGGCGCAGTCGCACTGATGCGCGGCTTGGTGGTCGGGGGCCATGGCATGCAAAGGCGAGAATGGCTGCCCGAGAGCTGTATGAGAACATCACATTTACGACTCTGGAGCTGGTTGTCGGGGATGGGGCAAAGTCGTGGACGGTTCGGGATTGGAAAGATGATACCAAGTGAGCCTTGATTTTCAACGTGGTTCTTACCCACACAAGGGGGAGAGTGAGCATTTCTTTCGGTTTTATATACGGGGAGTTGAAGCGTCTGGTGCCAAGCATGAAGTTATATACCCCGTCATGGGCTGGTTCCTGTGATTCCGCAGCAAAGCTAGGTATACACCAATAACACTATTCAAATTTCTCACTCCGGCTTCCCTCTGTAAACCTCGGCCCCGAGATTCCAGCCTTGAACTCCCCACCGAACCCAATTCCGTGAATCTCCTTCCGTGAATAGAACCTCGACCTCTTCGGTTCACACAGCGCTTTTCCGTATTTCTCCAAGAACTCCTCATCTACAGTCCCTACACACATCTCGATCTCATCTCCATCTTCGTTTGGGCACCGCCAGTACATCGTCGACCCACATACCCCGCAGAATCCACGGTATCGACCCTGCGTATGTGAATATTCTCTGGCCGCTGTGGATAGCTCCTGAGGTATATTAGATGCGCTCGGCATGCCTATTTCCGGGCTCTTCCAGCCGAGTTGTGGGCATGTGAAGGTCAGGAAGAGTGCAAAAGGTGCCCCCGTATGTTTACGGCAGTGGGTACAAGAGCAGGTATGCGGCTGCTATTCTGTCACAGGAAGCACTTAAGATGGAATATGGATCCAAACTTACCCCGGGTGGCCAGGCATATTTCTCTCCTATCTCTGCTTTGTATCTCACCTGGCCGCATAGACACCCGCCGGTTATAAAAGACGGAGGGGCCGGTTCGCTCATGGTCAGATGTATATCTCGATTCTGTAGTTGTTATTGCTCAAGGCTGGCCGTCTTCAATGACAAGAAATATAATATGCTCAAACCGTAGGGTTCCAGATAGACCTAGGGTGATGGAAAGGATAGCGACACGGACGGGCAGCGCCTTGCAGACGGAGAAGTAGGAGGCCCGAGGCAACGGACTAAAGTGGTGCCGGGGACAACGGACCAATAGGAGACCGAAACTTGCAGTAACTATCTCAACTACCACCTATTAATATTGGTAGTCAACAATGATTTTTAATGCTTTGAGTGCTGGGCTTGCTATAGCTGAGATAAGCTGGTTTAGGGCGGAATTTCCTCTGGCAGAGTTATGTAATCATCGTGGAATCCTGACTCCATTTTCTCGCCCCGTGAGGGTGAGCTAGACAGTCTGATCCACATCCGATATGCTATTTTGGCAGTTAACTAGTTAACTTGACGTATGGCACTTTTCGTCATGGAGTGGGCAGCCAATTACCTCGACGCCTATTTTTAACTCATAACAGGATCAACAATTGGCCCCTAATAATGTGACTTTGCCCTACCCGAGCGAAAGCGTAGTAACAACACGAAGGATTGAATACCTAATTGGGGCTGATTTAGTCCGGAAACATATTGTAGATAAATAGGGCTGCCAGGTCCTCTTTTAGGCTCTTCCGCTTCGTTGACTACATTCTTTAACTGCTCTTACCTTGCCACCGGTCACCAAATCATCATCATGCGCTTCCACCTGCCTACTCTCCTTGCTCTTGCCACCGCTGCATCTGCTGAGTGGGTTATTAGTGGATACAGTGGTACCGGCTGCAACCCCGATGATGAGATTAACGATTGGGGAGACGACAACGATGATCAGAAAGTCTGCAGCAACTTCCAAGATAACTCGGTTCCCATACTCTCCGCTATGGTGAACTATACCCAGGGTTATGCATGGATTTACTCGGAATACAACTGCACATCGTGGAACTTCGTCGCGATGGGTGCGAATACGTGCTATGACTACACCGACATCAACCTGTACGCGACCTATGTTGGAGGAGTTGAGTACAATGGCTTTGCCACCAGTACCTCTGATCCATAAGTAAGCTTTTTGAGCCTATATACTTTTTGCTCTGACTTATTCGTTATTAGATCTTCCTTCGAGATTGCTATTGCGACACTGCCGGCACATTCTCGATTTCAGAAAAAGAATCTTGTGCCAGTTATTGCTCTACGATGATCCGTGACGCCTTGGAGTTCGAACTGGATTTTGCTATTGTTATAAACACCGCTGCTAAAATGTTTTTTGCCCTTTTGGATAGATAGCCTCTTTTTGTAACATAATCAAATATATCCACCAACCTCCGCCTGCCTAGAGCATTCGAGATCCCTCCGGTTGCCCATTACCTTAATATTTGTTATGGCGTCTAGCCGTCAATCAGTATCTAAAGTTGGAGGACTCTGAAATTAAAACATCGAATTTCAGCACCCTTTAATTTTCATGGTGTCTAAAGTTAGTGGTAGGTAATATTCCTGTTGCCATAATATTACTTGTCTGGAATAATATTCAAGTTGTTTGGTATTAGTCCGAAAATACGACGACTTGCAAAATGATTAGCAGTTCCACGAGTATCAAGGGGTCGACATTGCGCTAACTGGGGTGCAAGCATTGTGCGCGTTTCGCCGATGCGTTAATTTCGAGCGTCCATAGTGCGGTGCGCGCCGGCCAACATCCAGCACCACCAACACATCATTTTTTCAACGGCCTGGTGGGTGGAACTTCATCGTCAGCAGTACTGGGCTCTCTTTGGATTCCTCTCAATACTATACAATATCCTTGACAGGAAGAAGACACTAGGCATTCGCTCCCACTCAACCCCATACTTGTCAAGAGGGAGGGGTCTTTCAGTGATGGTCAAATATATATATTTCGTCTTGGAGTCAGTAGTTGTTTTGGTCCTCAAGGTTTGCCGTTAACGACAAACGAGATAATAAGGCCAAACCATAAGCACCCAATAAATCTAGAGTAAGCGAAGGATGGCGATAAGAAGACAAAGCGGAGAAGGCTAACTACTGCGGCACGGGACTGATGTCATACTAAATTACATGGTAACTTTAAGACACCAAGTCCTGTACTATTAGCTGGGCCAAAAGCTTTGTTTGCTTTGACGTGTCAATTCTGAAACTTCCAGAGCAAACAAGCCAGATCAAACGCTAGAATAATATCCATAAATCCCCCTTAGTAGCCTACCCCAACGTTTTTGGGCGGGGCTGTGCTTCGGCCCCTATGAAGAGCCTCACCCTGGCGTACCAAATGCTTCCTATCTCTCTTTCTTCCCCTTCCCTCTTTCCCTCAGCAACTAAAAGCCATGCCTAATACACGAAGTAAAAGGCGCGACAGATCGCATCCACAAGAAACACACCAAGACAAAAGGCTGAAAATTAACGAGCCCCCACGAGAACACGGGAATTATCCTGAGCTGAGCTGGGATATCTGGTACTTGATCGCCGACGCTGTGAGAGCCCCGCACATCCACAGGCGGGTGGCCAACTGACCAGAGACTATTCTAGCTCGGCGAAAATAATAGGAATGACCTATTGAACCTATGTTTGGTGTCCAAGGAACGCAACGCTCAATTTACATCGGCCTTGTACCGGTCTATTGTGTTGAACCCGGCCTCTCTTCCCGTAGATGGCGTTCAACCCAAGGACGAGGCCGTGAGAATCTCTGGAACTATTCTACGTCGACTGCTAAACACTCGCGATGATAAGTTCAAGCCCCTCGTGAAAGAGTTGACACTCAAACCTGTTTTGAACGAGACGCCTGAATTTAAAAGCGCGATGGCAAAGTTCAGGGCAAAAGAGAGCTTATCTCGACTGATACAGAACTTGCCAAACTTGTGTCGAGTCCGGTATGCACGATGTCCTTGTCTGGGATAACAGCATAGCTAATTTCATAATAGGCTTGAGTTCACAGCCCCTTTGTCACACAGACTCATCCAGACCCTTGAAAATCATCCCCGTGGGCTCGATATTCAGCTTCTGAGTGAAGATGGCATGAATCCACCCCCTCGCGGTCAACTACTCCCGTGGGTTTCGAAGATCAACGCTTTCTTCCCTAGAGGACCATCGACGCGAAACGATTCTCACAGAGCAACCAACATGCACTCTCTCCTACTGTCTTGTCCAAACGTGAAATCATTCTCTATTGGAAAACTTCTCCAGGAGCCGCCAATCCCTGAGCCAACCCCCAGTGATGTGGAATGGACGTCCAGCGACAAGCTTCCTCCCATTCAGTCTCTTTCAATAAATGGAGGCCAAATTGGGGGCCCTAACTGGGCTAGATGGGAGGAGACATTTTGCTGGCCGAGTCTCTCATCTCTTAGCGTTGGCCCTTTGAGTATGCATGCATGTGCCACGCTGAATAGGCTAAAAGGCCAAGCTCGGTTCCTACAAAGCTTCACATATCTATGCGCATGTTCTCATTCCCAGGCTCGCCTCTCACAATTCCTCGCATCATTCAATACCCTAAAGTCCTTGGAGGTGACAAAGACCTTCTGTTTCATTAAGGATGTGGCTCTTCATACACAGCTGACAACTCTCTCCTTGCACGTCAATGAGTGGAGTGGTTTTCGCCAAGAAAAGGCGACACTAAGCTCTGAGGATCTGGAATATTTGGATGCACGGTGTCCTAATCTGCAAATACTGGCGGTTGATATCAATCCCGACGAGGAGGAGTGGGTACGACAAACCATTCCAGCCATCTATGAGCTAAATTGATCCTTTTACTAACTAATATCTAGCCATCAAAGACTCTCCGCACACTAGCAACTAAGTTCGACAAACTTCGCGTTCTCTCCCTCCACATCAGATACTCCCGTGCAACACAGGAAACTAACCCGGTTCCCGTTCTGACCCGTGGATCCGCCGAAAATTATGGTGAAATTTTCTATGGCAACAGATGGACTGCTTTTGACAAGTCCAATAATCTCTGCTTCTTGAATGACACCCAGGGTCAATTCCCTGGCCAGTTTGAAAAACTTGTTCTGAAGACTGGAGAACCACTTGAATATCCGTACAAACAAGTGATGAAATTCGAACTGTTGCCGCCTCTGGGCCTCGGGAGAAAACCTCAACTTCGGGTTGTAGAAACTGGAGGCAGAGAAGACCCATTAACAATTTCCAGCGAGATATCCGGTATGTTCCGATGAATCCTTACACGTCTAAAATTTCAAACTCTGCTTTGTAAAGACTCATCATTTGGGTGAGTCTTTCCTTAATTCTAGCTTTCTGATTGATCTACAGCCTTTTCCCGTCAATTTGAACCTTTGCCACGACCGTCTGTTGCGCCCAATCAACAATTCGGACCTTCACGATGATTTCATACTCTTTTCTTCTCTATCTTCTTCTAGCCCTCTGTCTCTCTCTCTGTGTGTATAATGCAGAATTTCGATAGAAGGAGGTCAAAAACAATTTCCCTCGTAAGAGCGCATGAATGGGGAATGAATGGGCCAAGGAACCCGAAACGACCGCCGCACCCAAGTATGAAAAAGTACTACCCCCGTCATTCCAGAATCATATCTTGAACGGTCCAAGTGCACACACCTCTCCTGCCACTCGCCATGGTCATTACGATCTAGCAAGGACACTATGATTCGCTGAGAAGTGAGACAACTGGAATGTTGGCAGTCACTCCTGCTGATCAATCAAGACAACACATCATGATTTGCACACTGAGATGAGAAAGTCCGCTCGAGCAAGTTTGTAAATATCTTGTTTTATCGGTCAGAAGCCAGAGTTTATGGGTATGTAGGTGCCAGTAGACTACACAAGGTAGGGGTAACCGAGGAAGTCGCGAGGAGGCCCCTGGTGGAAACATGTAAAAATGATGCGGTATTCTCCACGCCTGAGCCAGCCACATTCCACATGATAGCAGATGGCATTTCGGTTTTTCGAGAGGCCCCAGTGTATATGAAGTAGCGGATCTCTGTATCGACTTACGCGTGCAGACCGTCGCGATATTGTCTGCATCAACTTTTGTGTCATTATACTCCCTGGCCTCACTGGGCCTTCCAAACTTCATTCGCTGCGCAAATCTGACCTAAAATGACGCGTGTCGCTCCCAGGTCATCCTGGATGACCATTCTGGCCATGGCTTTGCTGGCAGTATGTGCAATCCACGCGCATCCACTGCCCAACGCTGGTAAAAGCAACCCAACACGGCCAGCTTATGGCCTGCGACCTCGGGTTCGTTACTGAATGAATCTATATAAAAAGCATTTGTCTTGCTAACATAGAAACAGAGAATCATCCCCGACACTACAGAATACTTATCCCGCGTCTTTGCCACTCTCGACCTGCTCCAGGTCCCCAAGCCTAAAGTCACGGAAGAAAAGGGCAAGCCGAACAACGAGTCACAGACCCAAAAGTCCAACTCCACGACTTCGTCGACCTCGAGCCACAATTCGACATCTACTGAGAGCTCGACTAAAATGCCCATGTCGACACCAATGGCCCACGCAACCCCAGCCTCGGATCCTACGCCAGCGAGCAGCGCCGTTGATGTCAGCTACACGGAAACTTTCAAACATGACGGCAGCTCCTACTATAAGCCAGCTGAGAATTTGCAGATTGGCCCTGGGCTGAACAACGGAAAGCTCACGGTAGATGACATCCCCATCATCTTCAGTGCCTTGTACAAGACATTGTCAGATCGGTTCCGGAATATGCTGGACTCGTCGGATGAGGTTTCGCTGCGGAGATAGAATGCTGGCTCGACTACTTTCCTTTTTTCTTCTTGGTCATTTACTATAAAATTTGCGTGGAGGGCAGTTAGCTTTAGTTACTTCGTCCATGTCTGAGCCAGTGTTAGACGGAATTGCCAATAGCAGAGCGAGCCACAAAAAGCAGTGGTAGTTACTGTGTGTACATGAAGTCAGAGCTGAATTTACCTCGCGGGTCTTGTGTCTTAAATCCGTGCTCCACATTTCATTCTCCGGCGCAATGCCGCTGCTATTACCGATTCTAATGAAAATATCCGTGAAGTCCGCGCGGAGATTGAGATACGGAAGTACCGAGAACTCTTGTCAATGGCGGTGATAATTTCCTGTCATCCAAGGCCGCAAAACCGGCTTATCGAGCGTTGACGGAGTTAAAAGGAGCGGGGTGGCGGGAGTTTGGGTGTGACGATCAGCTATAAAGCCCAACTTGGAACTTGGAAAAAACTCCACCGGAGCATCAATCCTCGCACGTATCAACTATATCGAACACAATGCCTTCGCTTGTTGGAAAGGAAATCGGCCCTACTGGCTATGGCCTGATGAGTAAATTCCGCCCTGAAACCCCCGGCTGAGGGCCTTTGGACTGACCGGACGATCAAGGAATGACCTGGACTCCTGAACCGCCTTCCCTGGAGAAGTGCTTTGAGACCCTTAACACGGCACTGGAGCTGGGCGCAAACTTTTGGAACGGCGGCGAGCTGTACGGCACACCGGAGTACAATTCGCTCCACCTGCTGAACAAGTACTTCACCAAGTATCCGGAGAATGCGGACAAGGTGGTGTTGAGCATCAAGGGTGGCGTGAAGCCCGGCCAACTCGCTCCCGATGGCTCGGAGGAGAACATTCGTCGCAGCGTGGATGAATGCCTGCGTGTGCTGGATGGCAAGAAGAAGCTCGACATCTTTGAGTGTGCGCGACAAGATCCCAACACCACCGTGGAGCAGACGGTGTCCATCCTGGCCCAGTGCGTGAAGGAGGGCAAGATCGGTGGAATCGGACTGAGCGAGGTGGATGCGGCTACCATCCGGCGCGCGTATGTACTTTTTTTTCCTTTTCTTACGAGATCCTTTTCCATTCTAACTATTTTCCTATAGCGCGAAGATACACCCGATCGCCGCCGTCGAAGTGGAGGTGTCCCTGTGGTCGACCGATATCCTCGAGAACGACGTCGCCAAAACCTGCGCCGAGCTCAATATTCCCGTCATTGCCTACTCCCCACTGGGCCGAGGTGTCTTCGCCGGCGCCGTGAAGTCTACGAGTGATATTCCCGAGGGCGATTTCCGCCGTCACTTGTCTCGCTTCAAGGAGGAAGCATTCCAGGCCAACCTTAAGCTGATTAACAAGGTTGAAAGCCTCGCGACTCGGAAAGGCGTTGCTCCCTCCCAATTCGCCTTGGGCTGGCTCCACAGCCTGAGCGGCAAGCCTGGGATGCCCACCATCATCCCCATTCCTGGTGGTACTACCAAGGACAAGGTCACTCAGAACATGCAAGGTGTCAAGTCACTGACCGATGCAGAGATGGCGGAGGTCGATGGCATCTTGAAGGAGAACAAGGTGATTGGGGCCCGCTATTGAGGGCGATGATTAGCCTAGTGGTCAATTACTGTGATCGTTAGCCATCGAAACCAGATAGCGATTTAATATGATAGTAAAACGATCATTATTCCACAAGTCAGATCAAGTGTAGAAAAATCCACATGCAACCTCACTGCACACGGAGTGCGAGGAGGTTGTCAGAATTGCAGAACTCTTCTTTTTGTTCATCCCGTAGAGAAAAAACAGACTGTCGAGGGAGATGAGACTTACCATGCTGTCAATTGTTAATTAGTCGTGGTTATCACGGGTATAACCACCATCCAGAGCGAGAAGAGAAAAGAAAATAAGAGAGAAAATCGAGTTTGCGGAATGAATAAACACCCCCATCACGTGAGGGACAGCTGACCAACCGACCCATTGATCGCATTGTCCTTGCTTCACACGTCGAGTCGTTAAGCTACATCCCCTGACTGACTCCTAAATTATTCATTGTCCCATCTCCCATCATGGCCTCGAGAGAAGCCTCTCCCCTGTCCACCGCGGACGAGGTCGAATCCTCCGACCACGAGTCCTTCAAGCAGGAGAGTCGCGCGCACTCCCCTTCGGCCTCGAACATGCCGCCTTCCAAACGCCGTCGCACCGGTGTAGCCTCATGGGATCGCCAGACGCCACTGTCATCCGTGCAGGACGAGATGCCACCCCCGACCTCGCCCACCGCCTCGATTTCCTCCGATTCCTCGGGCGACATTCCCAACTCGCCCAGCCTGCAGGCCGTGCTCGGTAACAACCAGGACGAGGAGTACAGCGGCCAGAACAACGACCAGATCACTGTCTGCCGGTGGGATGGATGCAGCGCCGGCGATCTGGGCAACATGGATGGACTGGTGCAGCACATCCACAACGAGCACATCGGGAGCCGACAGAAGCGGTACTCGTGCGAATGGACCGATTGCAGCCGGAAGGGTCAAACGCACGCCAGTGCGTATGCGCTGCGCGCTCATATGAGGAGCCATACCCGCGAGAAGCCGTTTTACTGCACTTTGCCTGGTAAGTACATGATGGGGATGCGATTTCCTTCAAGCAGGACTGACCAACGGCCCAGAATGTGACCGCAACTTCACTCGCTCCGACGCTCTAACCAAACACATGCGCTCCGTCCATGAGACTGACGGCCCACGCATAGCCGACTCCAAGGGCCAACCGAGCACCCCAGCGTCGAAGCTGCAGCGCATCCGCCTGAAGCTCACCCACCCGCCCAGGGAACCCGGGGCTGAGCAGCCCGAGCACAACAATGAGCCCACCACAATCAGTGCCGCTACAATAAACAATACCGTCGGCGAATCATCCGACCTCGATGAGACGACCATGCCCGAGTTCACTCCAGACCTCGGCTTCGACGACCACGAACTCTCCATGCACCCGCGCGACCTGTACCGTCTTCTGCGGCGGCAAATTTTCTGGGCCGAGAAAGAGGCCGCGCAACTGCAGTCAGAGTGGGAGAAGATCCGGCCACAGCGAGAACGCGCCTGGGAGGAGAAGGAGGTTATTGTTGACGACGTGATTGAGGGCGAGCTCAGGCTATTCAGCGCCATTGTTGGCGGCACTACCGACATCAATATTCCGACTGGTCCTGCGGCCACTCTCTCCAATAGTTTGGATAAATTGCAGCAGCAACAACAGCAATTCAAAGAACAGCAGCGGCAGCAAGGGATCAAGCCGGCCGGAGTAGTTTGATTTGAATGATCTTCATTTCTTCTGATCCGACTTATCAACACACCGGACATATGTGTTACTGCATTTCCCTATTTTCTGATTCTCTTTCCTCCTTACGGCGCTTGGTGTCAATGTCAGGGTTTGAATATCTACGACTCTCAGCGTTTTGTCGCCCTTCAACTTTTTTTTTTTCTCTCTCATTTTAAACACCCATATTTTCAAATCGTGGCTTCGCACCTTGTTATACGGGAATAGGCGAGAGGGCTGGATGGCATTTGTATGAATAGCTTTTTTGGGAGGTTACATTGGCCCTTTTGTGTATCACCTGTCCTGGCAATATCAGGCTTTATTTCTTCTAGATCTTTGTAAACCATCAACCTACTGAGATCCCATGAATGGCATAGAGTACTGATGACTCGTCAAGCCAGTTAAACGACGATTGGTCTATACGAGAGAAGCAGATACAAGAGGATTGAAGCTCAGATCCTCACAAAAGGTACCGAAGCATGATCCAATTCCATTTGGCTCTAACCAAAATATGAAAATGATATGGCAACAAGCGCTCCTAACCAGCTGAATGATCTTGTCTCGGCAAGACAACAGACAATCATCGACGCCACCGTAGCCACTCCATAAAGTACATGTGCTAAGAAAAGAAAAAGGAAACAGGAACATGAAGTTAAAGAAAGCACTTTAGGCATGAACTCTTCCATAGAAGTGCCTGTACCAGAGTGCCCAAGCGTAACAAAAAACGAAGACCAAGAAGTAAATGAGAGATATGCGAATAGGCCTAATCCAACCAGGTTGGCTGAAAGTCCGATGCAATTCTCACATTCTAGGCAGAAAGAGACAAATTAGAGACAAAGAAACATACTCCAAAACACGCCATGCATTTCGTCTGAAATTGGGACCGTTCTCAAATGAGCTAAGATGGCCCACGGTGTGTGCTTTTGTTCGTTTAAATCATTCGACGCCTTTCGCAATGCCATGCAACTCGTCGCATCCATATGATATGTACCAATCAAATTCGAAGGTCAATGGCGTTTAATCTTGATGACAGAGAATCCAGAAGGCAATGAAAAGGCTAAGAGAGACGCGTGAGGCGCCTCGTGCAATGCAATGTAGAATGGTCAAGGTTATGCCAGTGGGAATATGAGACCAAGGTCATGCACCATTGGATGAGGTCTTGGAGGCCTTGCTCGCCTCCATGACCTTCTCATACATCTGCTGAAGCTTGGAGCCACTGGCCTCTTTGTTGGGCCAGTAGTTGAGAGAAACATACTCCCTAGATTCGGTCAGCAACAGATTATAAGCCAGAATTAAAATATATGAGACCCACCAGAGACGCGTTTCGAGGGAGGGCATCGGCCGCGATCCCTCCAAGGTGGTGTGGATGAACTCTCCAATCTTGACAATGGTGCTCCGCAACTTCTGAGCGCGCTCGGCTTTGTTCGGATAGTTCTTGGCCGTGATCATGGTCACTTGCTTCAGATTCTGAACGATGGGCTTAAAGAATATGGATGCCATGTCTTCCTTACTGGAATGACCATTCTCATGGCCCTTCCGGCGGCGAAGTTCCTCGTTTGTAGCATCTGACAGGCGATGACGAGGCCGATCAGCATCGTGGCCGGACCGCGGACGGGCTTCATGGCTTGGGGTGTGGTGACGGTCACCATCCCGGTGGCCATGAGTATGAGAACGTGCTCGGGAGCGATCCACTTCGCGGTGTCCTTTGCGGGAGCCGGAGGGCGCAGGGGAGGCAGAGATGCTGCCACTGGCGGAGACGCGCGAGTTGCGCTTGTTGTTCCGGTGGTGGTTGTCCACAGCACGCCTGGCGCTCGCGTTGCTGCCATTACTGTACTTGTTCCTCAAGACCGACATCAGGTATTCGGCGCGGCGAACAAGGTGGACAGCCCCGGGAGACTTGGTGGCTTTCTCATCGCCATGCATGCGCTGGGTCTTCCTCTCCACCCGATGCTCCTCAAGGAAGAACTTATCTCCAAGCCCAAGGTCAGGATCGTCGCGGATCTGTGTCCATGCACCGAATCCATGGCGGGCAATGCCAACCAAAAGCATACCGTCCTCACGTGCACCCCACGGGCAACTGTAGTCTGCCAACTTAGTGGCCTCAGGAAGACGGAAACTCTTGAAATCGGTTCCAGAGGTGGTGATGTCCCGGAGCAGGCGCATGTCGGGAGGGCGCTCGACGATAGTCCAAGCATTGAGCCGTTTGACGCCATGGTGATCAAATAAAACCGCTTTCATTTCCTTTTTGGTGAGGTTCTTGCCCTGTTGCTTGAGAGCGTCTATTTGAGCTTGGTTCTCTCCGACAAGTGCGGCAGCTTTGTCCGTGATTTCGCGAAGAGCAGCGCGCACGGTTTCCCGATCACGACTTTTCAGGTGGGCATCCTCCAGAATGAGATCCTCGCAGTCTGCCATGTCACCGTAACGAAGAAATGCCCGCGAGAGAGAGCGATATTCTTTCTCGCTAAGTGGACGCTTGGGATCCAGCGAGGCGCCTTCTGATTCTTCTCCATCATCAATGACCTGCACTCGCGCTTGGCGCTTGGCCTTGCGTTCTTCACGCGTGTCTTGAGAGTCGGTGGGTGCTTGGCGTTTGCGAGGCCGATTTTGTTCAATAACTTCGTTCAGGTATATCTCGTCGGCCTTGCGCTTCTCCTCCGCTTTGAGCTCTTCAAGTTGTTCCTTGGGGATGATGTCATCCCAGCTGAGATCATCGACCTTGATATCAACAAAGTCAAAAGCTTTCAGGAATTCCTCGCCACCGTCGGCTTGTATCTGCTCCGTCTCCTCGGTTTGATGCAATTCTGCGTTCGCGAGAACGGAATCAATATCAAGCTGTTCAAGCTTCTTCTGGTTATCGGTCTGCTCAAACATCTTCTGACCACGACGCTTGAGAATTCGTGAGATGTCGTCAGTGGAGTTGGGTTCGTTCACGACCCGCGCCATCTTGTTCTGCATCTCGGAAGCTTCTTTATCAGTGACGCCACGCTGGATGGTAATGAATTCCAGAAGAAGCTTATTGCGAGCTCGTTCAATGACTTCTTCCTCGATTGTATCCTTTGAGACGAGACGGTACACGCTGACGGGCTTTGTCTGGCCGATACGGTGCGCTCGAGCCATTGCCTGTAGATCAGCCTGAGGGTTCCAGTCTGAGTCAAAGAGAACAACTGTGTCGGCAGTCATCAAGTTGATTCCAAGACCACCAGCTCGGGTCGAGAGGAGGAATGCAAAGTCCGTGCTCTCCGGTGCATTGTAATGTTCAATTGCCAAGCGACGCGCCGCGGAAGGGATGGTTCCATCCAGTCGTTGATATTTGTAGCCGCGGTATTCCATGTACTCGCTGAGGATGTTGAGCATGCCAACCATTTGGCAGAAGATGAGAACCCGATGACCATCGCCTCTCAGCTTTCGAAGGAGCTGATCGAGGAGCATCATCTTTCCACTGCTCGTGATCATTGCCCGAAGAATATCTTCTCGGCGGGTACTCCCTTCTAAAATCTTTGCCTCGGCGTTGGGGAACATGAAAGGATGATTGCTGGCCTTCTTCAGTTCCATCATGATATTCAAAAGTGATTGTTTCATTCCTTTCGCTCCGTCATTCAGCGCCGCGTAGTTCTTCGTCAGGATGTTCTTGTAGTACTCCAACTGAACATCAGAGAGCTCGACGCGGATGATTTTCTCGGTTTTCGGGGGAAGATCAGACTCGACCTTAGACTTGGTACGACGCAGCATAAAAGGCTGGATAGCGTCGGTAAGCTCAGCAAGCTTCTGTGAGGCTGCCTCCGAATTGAGGTCCATATCGACATCGACCTGAATCAGGCCAGGGTTCAAAAAGTCCATCAGAGATGACAGCTCTGCAAGGTTGTTTTGAATTGGTGTCCCGGTGATCAGCAGACGAGCCTGGCAGCTCCACTCAACCAACCTGACATAGAGCTGAGAGTCACGGTTCTTGAGACGATGGGCTTCGTCGACAGCCATGAACTGCCACTTGAACTGACCAAGGAAAGGCGAGTCATTCATAGCGTACTCGTAAGTGGTCAACAGAACATGGAACTTGGGCCTCTTGGGGTTGCCATCCACCATCAACTCATAATCGCGGAGGTTTGCTCGCGCTCTTTCGCTGCCGTTATAGACAACGTAATTCAGATCTGGAGTCCAGTTGTCAAAGGTCTCGGCCCAAGCCGGCATGGTCGACAAAGGAACGATGACGATAAACGGGCCTTGTTGCCGTCTCACATGGCGCATCCAATTGATGAATGAGACAGTCTGCACCGTTTTTCCAAGTCCCATTTCGTCTGCCAGGACCACATTACGACCCCTTACCCAATTGAAAGCCAAGAAGTTCAAGCCTTTGACCTGAAAATCTTTGAGTTCTCCGTTCTGCAGGAAGCTCGGGGTGCCGTGGATAGGCTCAAATGGCCTCCGAGTAGCCGGGTTAGTCTCCGTTTTGTCGGAGACAGGGTGACGAGAAGAGCGGTCGATGAAACGATCAATTTCATGTTGTGCAATCTCACTGATCATGTCTTCAGTTTCCCAGGTGCACGAATCGTAAAAGAGGCGTTTCCATTTCACAAGGTACTCAGTCGTGCCATCAATACCGTCACGGACGCCAATAACACGCTCGACCTTCTTGTAATCTTCAATTGCTTCCACATCTCGCTCGCGATCGAGATTCCACTTTTCACGATCCTCGGGAGGAACATTGGGGTCGTACTGCAGGCGGAGATCCTCCATGAGCACCTTCCTGACGTAATTGTCAACGCGACGAGTGCTGCGGAAGTTTGCGAGAGACTCATTGGATTCCCATGTGGCGTGATAATGAGACATGTCTTGCCACTTGATGTAGAACTCGAAGTCTTGGCGGCCCACGTCAGGGTTGTTGGGGTCGACACCCTCTTTGAGACGGTGGTTGAGAACGACATCAACGGCAGGGCGAGTGTCTTCAGCAGCGTCGAGCCAGTAGGTTTGAGTGGTATCCCCGGCATCCTCATCGAAGATTGAGTCATCATCATCCTCGTTATAGTTATTAATTCGCGATGCATTTCTCGTGGAAAACCGCACCTCGGCGAACGAAGGTTCGACGCTAGCTGCCTCTTTCAGGCGCCGCCGTCTTGCCTTGCTGGCACGAGCGCTTTTGCCGCCATATTCGTCGCTATCTGTCTCCGACAGCGAGGACGCTGTAGCCGAGCGCGAGGCCTTGGAGAGTTGGGATGGTTCCTTGCGCCGACGTTTTGCTCGTGGAGCAACGACATCGGATTCGGAATCTGACGATGAATCGGCCAGATGGCGTGTGGTTCGAGCCCGACCGCTGCGACGTAGTCCATATAGATCAGGATTTTGTCTCATCAACTCGGTCTCATCCAACGGCGACGATCTGCGCTTCGAGTCGAGGCCAGTGTGGGGGAATGCAGAATTTTCGCGGCTAGACGGGTTAGACTCGTCACCACTAGGTTCTATCACCGCATCATCGTCTTCTCCATCTGACATTGGAGATGCGCCATCAAATGACACGTCTGCGGGATCGGGTTCGGGGGAGGACTCGGAGACGGCATGAGAGTCAATGGGTTCCGACGGGGTGGCTTCGCTCTTGGGAACCACATCGCTTTCTGCAGGGGCATGAATGGCAACGGGAGAGCGGGGGTAGCCATTTGACATTGTTGCGCTAGGAGGAGGTTCCTGGGCAGATGGGATCACCATGCTAGAGGCTATAGTGGAAGGGCAGTCAGCATTGGAGCTCAATTTTCGGCAACAGAGGCATGGGAGGCACAGGTAATGGCAAAATAGTGTTCCGCGACTCATTTCGCATGCAAATAGAGGGCAAAAGATAGTAGTTCAAGGCAGAATATCAGATTAGATGGAGTAGGGTATTTTTGGATGACGGGTGGGATGGACGCGGCCGTGACGAACAGAGCACCAACAGGCTGATTGAGGCACACAACCAACCGCAGAGGTGATATGGCATCGAGCACAGACTCCAAAAAAACCAGGGATTTATTCGCACCAAAGAAAAAGGGAGTGTGAGGACTCTCGGTGGGTCGAAAAGCGTGGAGAAGTAACCCGGCAGCAGGTCGGACGGAACGCTGTAATTTTTCCAAGTGAAAAGAGAAAATTACTTACACTCCATAGCGTGGTGACCCCGCAAATGGGGTGGTCAAGATAGCAATGGTTGCAAGAAAGAATGGTGGTGGGGAGGAAGAGGCGCGATGGGCGGACTGGGGGGAGTGGGAGAGGAGAGTCCGAGTGAGGAAGAACGAGAGTTGGGGCCTGGCGTGTCGGCGGTTTGGCGCTGAACGGGGATCGCTTGGTGGCCGCCTGAGCCGTGAGGCAGTAGTCATGTGATTTGACAGGCAGCCAACCAGAGAGTGGGTAATTCATTAGTCATTTATGACTGCTGAGTCATTTTGTTGTGGCCTCAGGCCGTACAGCCCACAATCAGTTCATGAAAGGCATTTCTCTTGGGGCCCCTCCATCGGTGCTATTGTTCTTTCCTCCCGTCACCTTCCGAGTCTGCGCAGACACAACCTCAGGTGCCTTCCAGCGCCCCAAGTTCAACAGCTGTGACAGCTTTTTCCCGGTCCCTTCGACGCCAGACTCGCACGCGTGTTCGCCACTCTTGCCCGTTCATTCGCCTTTCTAGCTTCCTTGAAGCGAATCCGCAGCCATGTCTGACAAGCTTACGCGGTATGTGCCCTGAAAATCGTCGCATCATGAAATGCGTGTCTAACATCCAGTTGGTCTACAGTATTGCGATTGTCAACAGTGACAAGGTTCGTCCAGATTGCCCCGCTAACCCGGTCCTCGTCTCCCAACCGCTTCGTTCAAGCCTCGCTTACACGAGACTACCTCGATCTATAGTGCAAACCAAAGGTATGGATTTGAACGCCGTCCGATGTATTATTGATGGAGACTAATTTGTGCAGAAATGTCGTCAAGAGTGCAAGAAGTCGTGCCCGGTGGTCCGCACAGGCAAGCTTTGCATTGAAGTCGACTCCACCTCCAAGATCGCCTTCATCTCCGAGTCGCTGTGCATTGGATGTGGTATCTGTCCGAAGAAATGCCCCTTTGGCGCAATTCACATCATCAACTTGCCCACCAACTTGGAAAGCCAGGTCACCCACCGTTATTCTGCCAACAGTTTCAAGCTCCACCGACTTCCGATGCCTCGTCCCGGTCAGGTTTTGGGTCTGGTCGGAACCAATGGTATCGGCAAGAGCACGGCGTTGAAGATTCTGAGCGGCAAGCTGAAGCCCAACCTCGGCCGCTATGACAACCCACCTGACTGGGAGGAGATCTTGAAGTATTTCCGTGGTTCCGAGCTGCAGAGTGAGCATCCCGGAGGAATGATTGAAATCCCGAATGAGATGTGCTGACAATGTTAGACTACTTCACCAAGGTCCTGGAAGACGACCTGAAGGCTGTTGTCAAGCCTCAGTATGTCGACCAGATCCCCAGAGCCGTGAAGGGCCCTGTCAAGCAGGTGCAGGAGCTCATCAAGACTCGCTCTCAAATGGACAACATGAAAGAGATTATGGACGTTCTTGGTAAGTAGTCTGCTCGGAATTCAGTTTGAATTTGTGCTAATGGCTGTGCAGAACTGAACCAGGTTGCGAGCCGTGATATTGACCATCTTTCTGGTGGTGAGCTTCAGCGATTTGCCATTGGTCTGGTTTGCGTGCAGAAAGCCGACGTGTGAGTGAACACCTGAGTACGAATTGGTAGTCTTGGTTTTAATAATTTCTCCAGGTACATGTTCGACGAGCCTTCGTCTTATCTCGATGTGAAGCAGCGTCTGGCCGCTGCCCGCACCATTCGGGGTCTCCTGCGACCCGACGACTACGTCATTGTTGTCGAGCACGATTTGTCCGTCCTGGACTACCTGTCCGACTTCATTTGCGTGCTTTATGGTCGTCCTGCTGTCTACGGTGTCGTGACGCTGCCCTCCTCTGTCCGTGAGGGTATCAATATCTTCTTGGATGGTCACATTCCGACTGAGAACCTTCGGTTCCGAGAGGAGTCCCTCACCTTCCGTCTGACCGAGGCTGGCGATGATTTCATTGCGGATAAGGCACGCGCTTTCAGCTACCCTGCCATGGAAAAGACTCTGGGTAGTTTCCATCTCAAAGTCGAGTCCGGCAGATTCACCGACTCCGAAATTGTAGTCATGATGGGTGAGAACGGAACTGGAAAGACAACCTTCTGTCGCATGCTTGCTGGTGCTGAGAAGCCGGATGGCACCATCGGTGTTCCCAAGATGAATATCAGCATGAAGCCTCAAAAAATCACCCCCAAGTTCCAGGGCACCGTGCGCCAGCTCTTCTTCAAGCGTATCAAGGCCGCTTTCCTGTCCCCTCAATTCCAGACCGATGTCTACAAGCCTCTAAAAATGGATGATTTCATCGACCAGGAAGTTCAGAACCTGTCCGGTGGTGAATTGCAGCGTGTCGCCATTGTCCTGGCTCTGGGTGTACCCGCCGACATCTACCTGATCGACGAGCCCAGTGCCTATCTGGACTCCGAACAGCGTATCGTGGCTGCTCGCGTCATCAAGCGTTTCATTATGCACACCAAGAAGACGGCCTTTATCGTCGAGCACGATTTCATCATGGCTACCTACCTGGCTGACCGTGTCATCGTGTTTGACGGCCAGCCGTCCGTGGATGCTCGCGCGAACACCCCTGAATCTCTGGTCACTGGCTGTAACAGATTCCTGAAGAGCTTGGATGTCACCTTCCGCCGTGACCCCAACAGCTACCGCCCGCGTATCAACAAGTACCAGAGTCAGATGGACCAGGAGCAGAAGTTGGCCGGCAACTTCGTAAGTATTACCGTGCAATTTTGTGTAGCGACTGTGCTAACTTGTGTCGTGAACAGTACTTCTTGGAGGAAGAGAACTGAAGCGGGCGTTCCTTTCGAGCATCGCCGCCGCCGTCACAATCGTGATGAGCGCGATTCTGAGCAGCGGCGCAACTGGCGACGTGACAACCGGAAAGTCATGTGGTTAATGGCGTTCCCAGGTGTTTTCAGAGCTGCGGCGGTTCAATGCAGGAAGCTCCGTGCCCACGGAGGGTCTTCCAGCGACGAGGATGGCCCCTCGGAGGAGGATGACGAGGATGATGACTATGATAGCATCGACGGCTAAGGAACAGTGGCTCGTCTTTCCACCAGTCTCCTTTCGTGTCCTGCATCTGTCAGTCACTCTATCGTTTGTTTACCTTCTCGTCATCGCATTGCAACCTGTCCTTGCCAGCTCCGGTCGTTTATAAGCATATTCCAGGTTTTTCTGGAAACCGGACGGGAACACCTCTCTCCGCCTTGGTGGATTTGGTTGGTTCGGCATGGTTTCTTGTTGACGGAGTTTTGTTTGGGTGGCGGTTCTTCTGGTCCACAAAAAAAGCTCGTTTACGACTTCGTTATTAGTATAGAGATGTCTTGTCAGGATCCGTTGACAACATGATCAATTGGACTGGGCAAAAGCCGTTTTGACTTGCATCGAAAGCATTGTATGTAGATTGGCTTTTATGTACTGTTTGCCGATGCCTAGAACATATTTTCCCTGACGTTTGTTTTATTCGATCTCAACGATATTATTTTTCTCCCAAATTACTCCCTCCCCCTTTTATCCAATGCCCCTCCGTAGCCATAGATCAAGGCGGTGCAGTTCTGCCGCCCACCCACTGTTTGACAGGCAATGCCGTAACCTGCCCGATTGATTGCACTCCCACCATGGATGCAGCCGAGGATCGAGATATAAAACTGCAGCGAGCCTCTAGTGATCTAGTGGCAGAGTTCTCGGCAAAGCTACCGTCCCTGCTTTGGAAATCCAGGTCCCAGAGTGGAACCCCCGACTCTCCGCGCAGATGGACTCATGTCACGAAGACGGAGAGGCTGGTTGGCCTTGTAAGACCCCATCCCAATGATGAAGACACAGACCGAATACGCCGTAACCCTCGTAAACCATCCAATGGCTGACATGACAATGATCACAGCTTGAGCCTTTCCAGGAATGGCCCCAGCTCTTAGATCCGCATCTACAGAAGCTGCTGCCCCCTCTCGTGGATGCTTTTCTGGCATATCTGATCAAGAGCCGCGATCAATATGGTCTGCGGGCTACCAAGTCCCAGAAGGGTGGGTCCCTATACCCTCTTCCAAGGGCTATCTGCAGACTGCTCTACACTTTCTGCAAAGTCCGCGGTGTCAAGGTGGTCAGCCGGTTCCTCAACAACGAGCCGAAGTACCTGGGCGTTATGCTGCGGGCTTTTATCGAGTGGGATAAAACCATTCAACGTGGTTCCGAGGCAGATGCAGATGCAGATCCCATAGATTCCCAACTTCAGGGTCTGGTCTGGGAAGAGCGGTACGTGATGCTGGTCTGGCTCTCGCATCTCCTGCTCGCTCCCTTTGACCTGTCTTCATTGTCATCGGACGATATTCCCGTGCCTTATGAAAATCTCTACCAGCTAACATGGTTACCTTCCAATACTCCAATGATTGCAAAATCGCTCCTCTCATTGTCATTGCACTACATCAGTGCTTCTGGTAAGGAGCGTGAGGCAGCCACAGCACTCTTGGCTCGACTTGTTCTTCGGGGTGATATGCAAACCCTCGGGCTCCTTACCGGTATGACAAATTGGGCATTCGAGACATTTCATCCTGCAAAGGATGTGGAAGAGCCACCTTCGGTCTATGCGTGCATTGGGGTGCTATCATTCATTGCCCGATTGGGAGCGTCGGGTCAAATGGAAGATTTTGCTCCCTTGGTGATATCTGTCTTTGAGAAAACACTACGAGTATTTCAAAAGCATACCCTTGTTTCTCACGCCATAAAGTCCTCAGCATTAGCACGAAAGACTGTGGTCAAGATCCTCCGCAACATTACAGTCATGGCCTTGTCTCTCAGCGATCGCGGGCACGCTTGCATCACAGATGAACAGGTGTCGAGCATATTGGAGGACGCCATTGACCATTTCCTGATTGCTCTCGCAGACAAAGATACGCCCGTGCGGTTTGCGGCGAGCAAAGCGCTGAGCATCATCACCTTGAAGCTGGAACCCGGCATGGCAACTGAGGTCATCGAAGCAGTCATTGGCTCATTGGGAGAAAACATACTCTTTGAGAAAGACGACGGTGCTTTAATCACACCTTATGAGGCGCGACAAATACGCACCCACACACTCAGACGGAACCTCAGCGCGGTGGATGCCCAGCGATGGCAAGGACTGATCCTCACTCTCTCCCATTTGCTTTTCCGCCGCGCACCCCCGACCAGCCAACTCCCTGATATTCTTCAATCCCTTTTCTCGGGTCTTGATTTCGAGCAGCGCTCCTCGACTGGCAGCTCTGTGGGAACTGGTGTACGCGACGCGGCCTGTTTCGGCATCTGGGCCTTGTCTCGAAAATACACCACTCCAGAGCTGCAAGCCTTGCAACCACAAACGATCACCTCTCTAGATGGGCCGAGAGAGGTGAATGTTTTGCAAAGGCTGGCTGTGGATCTTGTCTGTGCCGCCTGTGTTGACCCGTCTGGAAATATCAGGCGTGGTGCTTCAGCGGCTCTTCAAGAGCTGATTGGCCGACATCCCGATACCATCGTCGAGGGGATTCCTCTTGTTCAGGTTGTGGACTACCACGCGGTTGCCCGGCGTTCACGTGCGATGATCGATGTGGCTAAGGCGACAGTCTCTCTGGATCAGACCTACTGGAGCCCGCTTTTGGAAACCTTGATGAGCTGGAGGGGGATTGGATCGCCAGATGCCGAGTCAAGGAGACAGGCTGCCAAGTCGATCGGAAATATGAGCACACAAGAGATGTTCAAGACCATGCATCTCGTGTTGGAGCGGCTTCAAAGCAAGCTTGCCAAGACTCCTCCAAACGATGTTGAATGCCGGCACGGCTGTCTATTAGCCATTGCTGCCACAGTGGACGCATATACCAATCAACGGAATACAGATTCGGAAACCAGCGATGTTCATGAGGCCAAGGAAGTCTCGGCCCAAGTGCTAAAGCTGTGGGATATCTTTGGGTCGCCCATTGGTCCCACTGATGATGACTTGAAGCTTCAGAACACCCGGCCTGAATTAACAGCAGAGGCATCGTCAGACTTGATCTCTTCACTGTCTCGGTCTGTGTATGGAACCGTTCGAGCAGCGCCCTCTCAAACACTTCTTGATCGAGCCCTTCAAATCCTCTCACTCTGCGTCTCCCGAAGTGATAACACCTCTATTGAAGCGGCCGCGAATGCATTATCACAGCTCTTTCCTTTGCTTTCTTCATCGAAGCAGGACGAAACTGTGCAGGCATGGTTCAGTCATTTGAATACTACATGGAAACTACCAACCGGTCGGGGCCAAATCCTCGCTCTAAGTGCCGTTTTCAAGCAGTTCGAGGTTAAGCAGGATCTGCAAGGCAATATCATCACACAGCTATTCCGATGTACCGACAAAGAAGAGCTCATTGAGAAACGTGTCGCTGCTGTGAGGTGTTTGGCCACTGACGTTCTACCACATATGAATAGTATGTGCTTCCAGGTGCTCAGACGTCGAGGATTCCAAGCTAACTATCTATCAGGTGTCACGAATCATGTTGCGAACGGCTTCCTTGGGGCATTGAATGATTACACCACCGATCGTCGAGGAGATATTGGGTCATTGATCCGGGTTGAAGCAATCCAGGCCGCCGGTATCCTCCTCAAGAGAGAGCCTAAAACAACACCATGTTCCCCACTAACCCAGGAATTGGTTCGATGTCTCTGTCGCCTGGCTAGCGAAAAGCTCGACAAAGTCAGACTACAGGCATGGCTTTGTTTGCAGAACTTTTGGGAATCGGCCACGGACTTCCCTCCACTAAGCAGTAGATTCGAACATTTCAGCCATGTGTCCTCGAAAGAGTACTTCCTCCAACTGCTCAGTCTGCAACCGATTGACTGGCTACGTGTTCCACTGCTGCAAGGATTGGCAACATCTGCTGTCGCCGGTTCTGAAGGCTTAGTTCGGGCTTGTCGGTCTGCGTTGGCTGAATATCTCGATTCTTTCACTGCATCTCAACGTCAAGAGATCTTGATGACTTTTGTGAAAGATCTTTCGACCATATTGAGCGACAATCTCCAAGATGACCGCTACGCCCCTCCGACCATCGAGTTCCTTGCGTTTTTGATCGATGGCTATATTAACGTCGTCCCAGATGGGTCTGATCCGAGGTTAGTTCGGCCGCTTTCATTCGGGGTATGGTAATTCTCACATTGTCTCCAGTTTCCGAAAACTATTCGTTCTTGTACAGAAAGCACACCTCCGGTCTTCCAATATAGCCCGCCTCGAAGCTGCGGCAAAGGTCTACGCAGCGTTGGCCAGGATTGAGAGTCTCCGGTCGGATGTTTTGAAGAAACTGACGGGGATGCTATTGCATCCTTTTCCGAGGGTATGCTCCATCCACCTTTTTTTTCTCTCTCCGTGTATTGTTAACATTACATCCTAGGTTCGCGCATCTGCTGCAGATTATCTATTTGTGGTGACCGATTCCGAGATGGTCAAGTATGAGGACTGGTCAGCGCAGCCAAAGCAGTTGATGGGTCAGGTTGAGGGTTTGCGGGCTGTTCTAATCCAGTAGGATCTCTGTGCGAGTAGATTTGTATATATTCTATTGTACGATCTTTCCCGTGGTATTGATTTTCCACTTCCTGCTCAAATATATATCGAGAGCACGTTGATGTGAATACACACGGCCAGACTGACGTTGAAAATCTACCAAGACAACGTCACCTATGAGATGAACCCAAATTTACATTAAAAAATAGTGATTGACTACCGTAGGATTGATTGATGGATGATTGATTGTAAATAGCAAAAACAAAAAAAAGTAGTGCATCATCCGTGAATCGAACACGGGCCTCGTCGATGGCAACGACGAATTCTACCACTAGACCAATGATGCTTGGACGTAAGGATTTCTGCATTGACGGCTACATCAGCCAGAACTTTCCTTCTGCTCAAATTCCCGACTGTCAACCGGAGACAGCTTGCCCACCTCGTCCAGCCCACGAGCTCAACGTGTCGCAACTATGGCTGCAGCAGGGGTATCGACAACAGGGCTTCCCCCAAATTCAACGTGAGTAGCTACCTCCACTGTTCTCCAGTTGCAAGATTCATGCTAATGTGCTCCTATCCACAGAGTCTATGTACGCACCCCAGACCTCCCCTCCTCCACGCCGGTGCTCAGCATCAGGTTATGCGTGTCCGTAGTCGCAGCTGACAAGGAACCAGGTTCGGAATCTCGAAGAGCGAATTAAGGTGGAGCAGCTGAAGGAGGCGCTCGAGGAGATCTTTGCAGAATATGGCAACGTCGTCGAGATTGTCGCAAAAACCAATCTGAAGGCCAAGGGCCAGGCGTTCGTCGTCTTCGACAACATCGATTCGGCCACCCGTGCCATTGACGAGATCAATGGCTTCGAACTCTTTGAGAAGCCCATGGTGCTGGACTACGCGAAGACGAAGAGCGATGCGACGGTGCGGCGCGAAGGCGGCGACGACGAGCTGGAGGCTCACAAGCGAAGACGCTTAGCGGAGAAAGGTGTGTTGAAGACGCAGATACTAGGGACCTGACCTGATTGCGCGGGAATGCCTGACTGACTGCCATTGCGTGAACACAGAGCGGAAACAAGCCCACGAAGCCCTCGAGGCCCAGAAGAAACTCAAGCGTCCTGCCGCCGCCGCCGCCGAACCCGCGCGCCCAGCCAAAACCACCAAGGGCGCTGGTCTCAAGCCTACCACTGGTGCTGCTGCCGCCGTCGTGCCGGACGAATACCTGCCACCCAACAAGATTCTGTTCCTGCGGGAGCTGCCGGACGACGCCAGCCAGGAGGGACTGTCGGCCGTCTTCGGTCGGTTCGAAGGGTTCCAGGAGGTGCGTCTGGTGCCAGGCCGCAAGGGAATTGCTTTTGTCGAGTACGAGACCGAGTCCGGTGCGATCAGTGCGAAGGAGGCTACCGCGGGCATGGCCATGGGAGAGCAGGGCAAGCCGATTCGCGTCACCTTCCAGAGACAGTAGATGGTCTTTCGTACATCGATGTTACAGAATTGTGGTTTTGGCGTTTGGAAGGCATTGTCTGAGATCATGCGGATTCGGAAACTGGAGAGCATCTTGTTATGACCCTCTTGCTTGTTGCGATGCAGCGGGCTGAGACGTCCGTCGTGTTGTAGTTTGAATAACTATCATCCCCGAAATATCATGATATCAAGAAAATAAGTGACATGGGCAGCTTCGATTGGTACAGAAACAAGATACACAGAACAGCTAGATGGGGATAAAAGGCTAGAAAATGACATCCGTGTCTTCCTGTTCGCCCAGCACATCCACGCTCTCGGGCTCCTCGGCGGCACCGCCATTTTCTTTATCTTTCTCGGCTTGCCTCTGTCGAGCCGCAAGGATCTCAGCGTCCGCTGCAGCGGTGTCTCGCTGCTTCTTGTTTGACACTTTCTTCAGGCGGTAGAACTCCTCGCGGTCAAGCTCGTCCAGTTCAGAGTTGATATCTTTGTTATGGTTAGCCCTGGGCTGCCAATCCGGGAAGGAAGTACAAACATTTAATGGTATTCTCAGTCCGAGGGATGATGACATGCTCGATGGCATTTACTGGGCAGGTAGAAGTCAGTCAATGTCTAATCCGATATCAATCTTGTTGACAACTGACCTCTTCGGTTGACCACCTTGATCACCTCATCCAAAACCAAAAATGCAGTCTGGAAAGGTCAGTGGACAAAACTCCCAAAGCCACAACATCTCATACCTGTAGACTGGCAAGCTCCACCAACGTCTCCACGGCCCGTGCGTATGTCTCCCGGCACCGTTGGATCTGCTGTCCACCCTTGCCCAAACCAGTCAAGCCAAAGTCATTGACACCCTCCTCGGTGTAGCTTTCAAACTGAGGCAGGAAGACACCGGACACGTTCTCGTGCTTGGATCGAACGCGGAATCGAGCTTGTTTGGCCGACTCCTGAATCTGATATCCAATGTCTCCTCCGACTGCGTAGCTCACTTCGGCCAGTGAAAAAGCCGCAATCTGCATAACACGGCCCATTTTCTGTTTTGCTTCATCGATGCGACGGGTGATATCTGGTGGTTCTCGTTAGCTGCTGTGTTCAGGTGGGGGTCGAGCCTGGAGCGGTCGAAGGCAGCAGCGTACCTCGGAAGCGCCTGTAATCCACAGTGTTAGCTGGAGACAATATCTCTAGCGAGAGGAGACATACTTGGTCAAGGCTTCACTCTTTCTCTTCAATAAACTGTGGCCGATCTCTGCACCCTTGAGCTTGCTCTTCATCAACCCTAGCGACTGGCGGGTCGGGAAGACTGCCTCGCGAGGTCCCTGGAGGATATGTATTAGCAACTGCGCATATCATCCCGAGCAGAATACTCACGGCGCCGGACATGACTGCAGATTGGCCTGGATGTGAGCGTGGTACTATGTAAGTGTCCAGTGTCTCAGCCAGATAATGACGATCCCCGATAATCCCTCACCGCCTGCCCAACCAAGAACTCATCACGTGCCCGACCCGCTGACTTCGCTCTTCGTCGCCGTTCCTTCCTTCCCTTCCCACGCGCGCCTCACGTTCCTTCGCTCCGTCCACTCCATGGTGCATTGTTGCCCGAGTGATTGGATCCCGCTCGACTGAGTGGCGCAATGCCAGGGACAATCTTGCCCCCGAGATCGCACCGGCAGCACGCCAAGATGGAAACATCTGCGTCTCGCCCGGACCTGTACCTGATCGTGCGTGCAACCACCCATTGGACTTGACAGAAGAAAGACTGACATCTTATATTCCCAACAGACTGATCAGGATACGGTATACGAACAAGACTTGCTTCGCGACGCGGGTAGTGTCAAGCCATGGCTGGCCTACATCGAATTCAAGCAGCAGCATGGCACGCTCTACGAGCAAGCCTTCGTACGTTACTTCCCACTTGTCATTTCCACTGCTCGAAGCTGACTTTTTATAAGATTATGGAGCGTGCCTGCAAACAGTTACCACGGTCGTATAAGTTGTGGAAGATGGTGAGATTTTTTTTCTCCGTGCTGTGTGAATTTGCAATTGTTAACTATTGTAGTACCTCGAGTTCCGGACGAAGCATCTGAAGGGCCGAAACCCCGCTGTCTACCGAGCCGAGTTTCTGAAAGTCAACGCCCTATTCGAACGAGCCCTCATACTCCTCAACAAGATGCCTCGCATCTGGGAGATGTACCTCTCCTTCCTGATGTTGCAACCTCTCGTGACCCAAACTCGGAGGACTTTCGATCGTGCCCTTCGTGCACTGCCTATCACCCAACACAACCGTATCTGGCGTCTCTACAAGGGCTTCGCACGGTCTGCATCCGGACAAACCGCCGTGAAGATCTGGGCTCGGTACATGCAAATTCATCCCGAGAAGGCGGAAGAGTATATCGGACTGCTCATTGAGATGGGCCAGTACACTGAAGCTGTGAAGAGATTTATGGAGATCCTCGACAACCAGCGCTTTCAGTCCAAGGAGGGCAAAAGTCAATTCCAGCTCTGGACCGAGATGGTTGATTTGCTCGTGTCCAAGGCAAAGCAGATCGAGACTGGCCCTCAGGTTGGGATTGATGTCGATGCGATCCTTCGGAGCGGCATTGATAAATTTGCCGACCAGCGAGGAAAACTCTGGGCTGGATTGGCCACTTATTGGATCACAAAGGGAAATTTCGAAAAGGCGCGCGATGTCTTTGAGGAGGGAATCACTACTGTCATGACAGTTCGTGACTTTACGCTCATTTTCGACTCATACGTTGAATTTGAGGAATCCGTCATCGGCAGCTTGATGGAAGCGGCCGCCGTGCGTTCGGAGAAGGGGAAAGTCGACGAAGAAGCTGATTTCGACCTCGATCTTCGAATGCTACGCTTTGAGCAATTGATGGATCGGCGACCTTTTTTGGTGAATGACGTTCTCCTACGACAGAACTCCAACAACGTCATCGAATGGGGCAAGAGAGTCGCGCTCTGGGGTGATAACAAGCAAGAGGCCGTCCAAACATACACAGCCGCCATCGCGGCAATCAACCCCAAGAAGGCACATGGCAAGTTCTCAGAACTGTGGGTGAATTACGCCAAATTGTACGAGAATGGAGGAGACTTGGCTACTGCCCGGGTGATTTTCGACAAGGCCGTCAAAGTTCCGTTCAAATCGGTGGCCGAGCTCGCCGAGACATGGTGCGAATGGGCCGAGATGGAGCTGCGCGCTGAAAACTTCGACAAAGCGGTCAGCATTATGGCCAAGGCAACCCAAGCACCCAAGAAGTCGACAGTGGACTACTTCGACGAGACACTATCCCCGCAGCAGCGAATTCACAAGAGCTGGAAGCTGTGGAGTTTCTACGTTGATCTCGTGGAGAGTGTGTCGTCTCTGGAGGAGACTAGGAAGGTTTATGAGCGGATCTTCGAGCTCCGCATTGCGACCCCCCAGACAGTTGTCAACTACTCCAACCTGCTGGAAGAGAATCAGTACTTTGAGGACTCGTTCAAGGTATATGAGCGGGGACTGGACCTCTTCACCTACCCAGTTGCCTTTGAGCTGTGGAATCTTTACTTGACCAAGGCGGTTGACCGCAAGATCGGAATTGAGCGACTCCGAGACTTGTTTGAGCAAGCCCTGGACGGGTGCCCACCCAAGTTCGCCAAGCCGCTCTATCTGATGTACGGCAACCTGGAAGAAGAGCGCGGACTCGCAAGGCACGCGATGCGCATCTACGAACGTGCGACCCGATCTGTATCCGACGAGGACCGGTTCGAGATGTTTGAATTCTACATAACCAAGTCTGCGTCGAATTTCGGTCTCACCTCCTCACGGCCAATCTACGAGCGCGCCATTGCCGCCTTGCCAGACCAAGAAGCGAAGGAGATGTGTCTCAAATTCGCCGAGATGGAACGGCGGCTTGGTGAGATCGACCGTGCACGTGCGATCTACGGCCACGCCTCGCAGTTCTGCGACCCGCGGACCAATGCCCCCTTCTGGCAGAAATGGGAGGCGTTCGAAGTCCAGCACGGAAACGAGGACACCTTCAAGGAAATGCTCCGCATCAAGAGAAGTGTCCAGGCTCAGTACAAGTATGTTGCCCTTCTACCAAATCCCACACAAGCTTCATATACTAATTGCTTCACAGTACGGATGTCAACTTCATTGCATCCCAGGCCATCGCCCGAAGCCAGCAACGGCCCCAGGAGGGCGAAGGAGGTGCAACCGCCGAGGGAGAAGATGAGGACAAAGGCCGTGCGGATGCCATGGCGGCGCTGGAGCGGCAAGCTCGCGCCCCGGTTGGCTTCGTCGCCGCCAGCTCTGGTCCCGAGGGTGGTAATCGCCCCAAACCTGCTGGTGAAGCTCCTCCAGCTGCTCCGGCCAACCCGGACGCCATCGACCTCGACGACGAAATGGATGCTGAGTAATGGCGGGAAATATACGGCTCATCAACTCCTCTTTTCTGGCTTCGTTCGTTGACATGTCTGTGTGACATCTTTCCTTCTCATCGTATAACTATCATCTTGGGCGGATTTCCACGCCGCCAATTTCTGGTGTCACTGCTTACTGCTGCATTTTCTTATCTTGTTCCACTCCTTGTTTGATTTCTTTCCTTTTGTTTCTGGCGTTGTCCTGTATGTGTACCTGTATAGATGGCGCGGGAAGGCACGCCGGTATCGCAGCGATAACCCGACTTATCTAAGGCGGTCAAGAGTGACAAAATAATGTTGTTCTCCCCACTTACATATCCCACGACGTATTTTCTTTCTTCTTTCTTCTGCAATCTCTTAAGACGAAATCATGACTGTTGTGGCAGACCCTCTCACCATCCTACCCCCAGAAATAGTCCTGCGAGTCTTGGAATTTTCCTCAATCTCAGCGCTCGCATCCCTGACCGCAGTCTCCAAGGCCTGGAACGAATTTATCGACGTCACCCACCAAGAAGCCATATACACGTCCGAATCCAAAACCGCCCAACCCCCGGGAGGTTCTCGCGATCTTTCATTCCTCGCGGACAGTCTTACCTTCTCCAAGCTATTTGAGAACACGGCATCATGGAAGGACCTATGCAAGTACCAGACATTGCTTAGTCGCAATTGGGCCAAGCAGCACCCAGCTACCCATGAGTGGGCGATGCAAATAGGCAATGACCCTGTCTGGCGCTTCCGCGCTGACTTCAAGCGCCGAATATTTGTTTCCACCTCCCATGCTGGTGGTCTGAACGTCACTGATATGGACACCGGCCGGATCCTCTGGCGACTTCCCTCCACGCTGGATCGTGATGAGGACTCTGTTCGCCCATTTGCGCATCTAGAGTACCAGGATGGAATGGCAGTGTTTGATCGCGAAGGGGATGCCGTTGAGGTATGGCAGACAGACCTGGAAGACACTTCGCGTGGAGAGTTCCGACGCACTGCGGTCTTGTCCCACGATTGCCAGACAAGAGGCTTTCAATTATCCTACTGGACCCTATGTGTGGTGTCTAACATGGGCCAGGGATTTGTGTATGATATGACACAGAGCCCTCCCAAGTTGACTACCCACCTGGAGATCGAGCGCGGTGCTGTTGGCCATCTTGATCAGAGTGAGGATGCGGTGATTTACTCGATAGGCACGAAAGGATATTATGCCTACGACAAGAAGTCGGGTGCATTTTTAGGCGTATTGCAGCCGTCGCATTGCACGGACAGATATCACATTCGTCCACCTACCTCCGATCCTTCGCGATACCACACAGAGAGTTCAAATAAAGACTGTCTGGAGCCGATCAAGATTGCCAAGGGTCCTCTCCAACCCCCGGAGGATCCTGATCATGTCTACAACCAGGAAGACGAATGGGGAGCGGGCATGTCGCACGGAGATCTCTTCGTCGGTTTCTCCCGTGCCGGTCGTGTTTTCGTGTGCTACAACTGGCGAAAATCCCTTCGCAACCAAGAAAGCCTGGTGACACATAGCTCCGTTATTGAATGCGAGTCGGATGGGGAAAGTTTTGACCTGGGCGGTTGGTTGGCAGTACGCAACCATCGCCTGATGTTCGAGATCAAGGACCGAGCCTATGTCGTGGCACTTAACGATGATAATAGGATCCAAGATGCCGAACACCCTACCCGCGCTTCATATGCGTTGCTAAACAGCTCTGCGGCGCACCTGGCTGTGGCAATCAGCTTCATGGCATTCAGTGATGATGCGATTATGACCACTTACACTGTTCGTTCCACACCCACCCAAGATTTCAGGAAAAAAGAATCTAATATGGAAATTGCAGACTCTTGGCTTCCGCCAGCCCCCTTCCAACATTCCAGGTGATATAGACCCACGTGAGCGCGCAAACGCGCCTCGCATCTTCCCGACAAAGGTCATTCGTATCATTAGCCTAGCCCCTGACCTCTCCAATAACAATTCG